CACACCTTGGTGACTCGGGGGGAGGGGGGAGACATTGGGGTTCTTGGTTGGGGGCCAAGGAGCCCCCTTGTTTTGCATATTTTAATCCACTCTATATTTGGAACGAGAAAAGGAAACAATATCTCTGTCCTTAATAGCGTCCCTTCCCTGCCCCCCAGCCCCCTCCTGGTTCCCCTGTGGCTGCCCAGTCTTCCATCTCTGGCCCCTCACTGCCACTGCCACCCCGCGTGGGGCGGAGGATGCTCCAGCTGGTCTGGGGTTGGCCAGGGTCCTAGTAGCCGCCCTGCGGCCCTGCCTCAGCCTTCTCCCCTCGCTGAGCTATAGTGTGCCCCACGACCCTTCAGGTGCTGCGTGGAGGAGGGGCAGCAGGCAGCCAGGCCTGCTGGGCACTAGCAAGGTCTGGTGGCCTGGGAGACCGTTGCCCTGGGGGTGGGAGCAAGGCCCTCACCTGCTCCCAGACATCTCCCTCACAGGGTCCCGCCCCCAGGAGGGGTCTGGCCTCCTCCCCACACTGTTGGGCAACTACAGCAAAGAAGCCTCTGCCTCAGACCCCAAAGTCTCCCGTCCCCGCCCTGTCTGTGTGCACACCCGTGTGACTGACGCTTTGGGTGCGGCTGAGTGCACCGGAGCCCTGTGTGCCTGAGGAGAGTGGTCCCGCAGGGCCACCTGAGTAGTGTGGGGCTTCGGGGGCACGCACAGGGTGTGCACCTGCGAGGGCACCCCGTCTCCACTTCCAAAGAAAGTCAGAGGCCCTCCTGCCCCCTGGACCCCCTGCTTGTCCCGCCTGCCCTTCCAGAGCGTCACCTGAGCACGCCCGCCGGCTTCACCCGAGCAGGCTGCCTGGTGAAGCTCTGCTGCTTGGGGAGGCCCCCGAGGGCCCTGGAGGCAGTGCCCACCCCATCAGGCTTCTGGGGGGACCCTAGGGGGACCCCTAGAGTCAGACCATCGCAAACCCTGGGGAGAAGCAGAGACCCCAGAGGGCACCCCAGCCCCCCTTACTGTGACTCCTCACACTCAGCAATGACCTGTGGGGTGGGGGGCCCTGGGACGTTTTTAAACCTAGGGTTTGGAGTCTGGACTAAGCTCCATCCACGTCACTCACAAGTTTCTGTTTATATTTCTAGCTTTTTTTAATAAAAATAAAAAACCCAGAAAACAGAAGTTTTCAGAGCCCAGGGGCCTGGCACGCCGGTCTGTGCCCGCCCCGTCCTGGCCCACTGGCCTCATTCCCTGGGCAGAGTCACACCCAGTAACCCTTCCACGAACAGACCAGGTCACACACAGCAGCGGTCACTGTAACAGACTGCCACATACACACAGTCTCACACTCACCTGTGGGTTTTTGGTTCCGTTCAGTTTGGGTTTTTAACTTTACAGGGTCAGTACTGCTCCACCCTCCTTTTGTATGGAGTTCCATCCAGGGGAGTTCACCCCTGCTCCAGCCCCGAGGCCTCCTGACCCTGACGTTGTGATACACCCCACAGAGATCTATGTTTCTTATATTATTATTATTGATAATAATTATTATAATATTATTATGTAATAAATTTATAAGAAATGAAACGATTTCTCAGTTGCCTGCTTGGGGAGAGGCTGGGAGCACAAACCCTGCTGTCCCTGAGGTCATAGACACCTCCCCAGCCGTGGCGGGAACCTTCAGCCACGTGCACCGGTGACTCTCAGGTCTCTGTGACCGGTCTCTCTGCTGACCTCCACGCCCACCTGCCTGGCTCCTGTCTCTCTACGAGTCCTGCTGGACCTCAGCTTGTGCCTCCGGGGTTGGGAGCTTCCCTCTGCTCACTGAGTGGCCAGTCCTGAGCTGGACGTCCAGTCGTCCTCAGTGTCCAGGTTCTCATTCTGCTGCTCCCGTTGGTCAGTCCCCCCATGTCTATCCCTGTTGTCCTGCCCCATGGCGCTGCCCCTGTTCCAGTCTCGCTTCTCCCTGAGCTGCGGTCACGTAAGCAGCCAGCTGCCACTGCCCATGATGTGGCGGGCGGCCGCCCGGTGAGCGGACGGAGGAAGAACAGAAGTGACTGGGTGGACACTTCCGCGAGGGAGGTGGAAGCTGCAGGGTCCGGGGCTGAGACAGGGCCTGCGGAGCTGCAAGTCAGGCGCCCGTCACGTGGCGGGGTCTCGGGGGCAGTGGGTGGGGGCCTGGCCACAGTGGGTCGCGGTGCAGCGCGGATGTGACAATGACAAACGCAGACTTTGTCTCAGGTTCTCACCGAGGGGTTGAGGCCCGTGGGAGATGCGTCCAGGGAGTAAGAATGGGTGATGGAGAGAAGGGGGTGGGCTCAGGGTCTTCACCCAGAGGGTGCAGAGGCAGAGATGCTTTGGGGGAGCTAGTGACTGCCTGGACGGCCCTGGTGAGGCAGAGTCAGTGGCCGCTGGGCAGTGGGGCCTCGAGAGGCCGTCTGTCTAGAAAGCCCCACAGTTCCAAATACTCAACATTTTCAAGTGTTTTGTTTGTTTTATTTTCAAGTTAGAAACCGCGCTCATCATGCAGAAGGGCCATGACGGAAGTCGGGTGTGAACTCAAGGCGGGAGGGACCCTGACTTGGGCTGGGGCTGAGTGTGGCGGCACCACAGAGACAGGTCCCCTCTGGAGCTGCACCGGAACCCTGGTCCCTCCGGGACGGGACCAGTACAAGTGCGGTGGAGCCAGCCCCCGTGGAGACAGCACGGCCCTTGGCCCCCAGGGACCTGGGGAGAAGAAGAATGTCCCTGCAGGTCAGGGGCCACCCACGCCTCAGAAGCCGAGTCAGAACCCTCGAGGTCTGCACTGGGGCACGTCAAGAGGAGGGGGGTTGCCGGGCTTGGCACTGAGCGAGCAGAGGCTTCCTCACACAGGGCTGGGGTGCCCTTCCCCTTCTGGTCTCCCCGAGCCTAGAATGTTCCAGCTCTCCCCTCTCAGGGGCCCTACAACTCACCAACACTCTCTCTGGAACCTGGAACAGAGGCAGCAGCCCCTCCCGCACCCCCAGTCACCCCAAAGTCCTGAGGCCAGCTGTGGGGTGGGCTGGACGCACAGACGAGGCGTCTGCTCTGCAGAGCCGCGCTGGAGAGCAGGGCGCGGCGGGCAGGAGGGAGAGAGTCGAGATGGCAGCAGGTGGGAACCAGAAAGGCTAGAGATCAGGGTGAGGAAAAGGGGTGCAGCCTGGATTGCTCAGGTGAATGGGGGTGGAGGTTCAGAGTGCGCAGGGGCACGTGGTGGGCAGGGTGTGGGAACAGAACTGGGAGCAGGCGCCGAGGTGGAAGGAGCCGGTGCTGGGAGCTCCACCGAGGCCTGAGCCAAGCCCCCCGCAGCCATGGGGACCCCTCCTCTGGCCCCAGAGTAGTAACTGTCCTGTGTCTTTCTGCCTCCACACTAGGGAGCAGCCCCGAGAAGGCAGAGGTGCTCCTGGCTGAGATGCTTCCTGCTGCCATTAGGTGTGATGTCTGTGAACCGGGTGGGCCGCAGGCCTGTCCCTCAGCCGTTGCTGGGGCCCAGGGCAGGTAGGGTGCCTGGCCACCCCGTCCAGGACCGGAAGTGGGCATTACTCTGCGAGTCAAACAGTTGTTTTCTAGAATTCAGACACTGGGCCATCTGGTTCTGTTCCTGCATAACTCTCAGTGCTTTGAACAACGAGTTCTGCTTTTCATTCAGAAGTTTCTGCCCCACATTTTGATCATACGTTGAGATACTTGTAAAGTTTCGATTTGCAGGAAATTGTACATATGAACATTTAAAATAAATGGTTACATCATTCTGGTGAAAGATTCCCAGGGACCATATCAATTTTATGCCCGTCAGAATCCTGTAAAAACGCCTGGACTGGCCCCTCTGACCGTCCAAACGTCAACATCACTGCACGAACTCGCTGCCATTTCTGGAACCGCGTCTCCACAGCCTCGTGTGGTTAGGTCACCAGGCACAATCGCTCACGATTTAAAACAGGTGAGGCCTCCTAACACGCAGGTGAGCTGCAGCCTGTTCATACTCAGCTTGACGACACAGGACGTCCTGACCTTCAGACACAGGCGGCGAGACTGCCTCACGTAAAGGGAGGGAGGGAGAGGAAGGAGAGAGAGGGAGGGAAGAAGGGAAGGAGAGAGAAGAACCTGGGACACTTGCAGAGGGGGAAGAGGCCTCCTGAGACTAGCAGAAGACACACTCAGGTCTGGGGAGTACGAGGCCCTATTAGATAAGGCACCCAAGGCCCTGACGCTGACATAAGGGTCACGGAGCCTCCTTACACTCCGGTAGCAAAGAGGGGGACCTCCTGACATGCAGGTGGCAGAGATAAAGGTCTCGTGACACAAACAGCTGATTGGCTCTGGAGACCTGATTGCATTCATCTGGGGAGACAAAACCCTTGCCGGGGAGAAAGGGGAATAGAGCAGGTCCAAACTCAGGTGGTGCAGGGAGATCACCCTGTCACCTTGTGACGCTCCATACACAGGGTGCAACCTCTTGACACTCAGGGAGGTGGGTTGAGACCTCACACCCGGGCAGGGGAGGTGACGGCCCTCCAGGCAGGTGAAGGTGGGGGCTGCTCACACTCCGCTGGGGAGGTGGCCCCTGCGAACACTCAGGTGCGGGAAGCCAGCAGTGGTCATGCTCTGGCTGTGAGGCGCTGTCTCCGGACAACCAGAAGGAACGACACTGCATGACGTTCAGGTAGCTGTGGTGAGAATTCCTGACGACACAGGGACAGCACTTTGCTGAGGGGCCTGAATACACACAGGGAGGGAGTCAAGGACCTCGGTGGACTGAGGAAGGAGGCTCAGCTGATGTGGGAGCTGGAAGGAGTCACCGGAATGCAGATTCCGGCTGGGTTTCAGGCTGTACCTGAGCCCCCCTTCGCCGGGGGAGCCTGTGCAGGATTGGGGGGAACCAGTAGAACTAAAGGCTCCTGGAGGCCTGCCTGCCGGGGTGGGGGTGGGAGGTGGCCCTGCTGATTGGTCAGGGTGCATGGAGCTTTGTGAGGTCAGCGGGCTTCCGCCGGCTGGGCAGGACGATGGTGGAGATGCTGCCAACTGCCGTTCTGCTGGTCTTGGCAGTGTCCGTAGTCGCCAAAGATAATACTACGTGTGAGTAAGTGTCCGGGACCTCGGCGGGACGGGCACCTTCTCAGCAGCAGGCCCAGGCTGCCTCTGTCCAGAGAGGAGGCCCTGCTTGGGCCTCAGCAGGCCCTTAGGGTCACAGCTCCCAGGATCCACAGCCCCGAGTCAGACCCTCCCTGCTCCCAGCATCCTCAGCCCGAGCCCCCGGGGCCCCAGCGGCCCCTGGTGTCCTGAGACAGACCCCTCAGCTCCGAGGACAGGCTCCCAGGTGTGTGCATGCCGTCCAAGCGCCCTGATGCTCACGGGTCCCACAGACACGAAGTGCCCCAAGACCTCGTCCTGTTGTAGCTCCAGGGCCTTCACACCCCCTGAGACCCCCACAGCCTCCAGGGCACCCCACAATGCCAACAAGCCCCAAACTGGAGTGGCCTCTCACCTGCGACATGATTCCTACCTCTGGACCCCCACTGCCTCCCCATCCCTGGGGGCCCTGTACCTGCCTGAGGCCCTTCTCTGGACACTGTCCGAGTCAACCGTGCAACCCCAAGACTGGTTCTGACAACCTCAGGCCACGACGCCCTGCACTGCCGTGTTTGCCTCCCCCAGCCCAGGGCCCCCCACACTGCCAGGCCCTCCCAACATTTCCTGGGGCCTGTGGTTTCCTGCCTGGTCACAGCCCCACAACCTGGCTCTCACCACAGCCCCTCGTGTCCCCCGACATCGCCTGCTTTCAAACCCTGTACCCCTGCCCTCAGGAGGCACAGGACAGGCCGCGCCTGCTCCCGGCTTCACCTGTGTGTGGTTTCTCCTCAGTGGCTCCTGTGGGCTACCGTTCCGGCAGGCCCTGCAAGGGAGTGTGCGTGTCGTCGGAGGCCAGGCCGCCGCTCACGGGGCGTGGCCCTGGATGGTCAGCCTGCAGGTCTTCACCTACCACAACAGCCGGCGGTACCATGCGTGCGGGGGCACCTTGCTGAATGCCCAGTGGGTCCTCACCGCTGCTCACTGCTTCAGGCTCAAAAAGTACGTGCGGGAGTGCGCAGGGGGGTCCTTCAGAAGGGCCCCTGTCAGCAACGTTGCCCGGGGTCCCCGTGCAGAGTGGGGCTCGCGGCAAGTAGACCGTGAGCACGTTGGCCCAGGCCCGTGAGGGGAGGGCCCTGAGGATCACGGTCACAGCGAGCGCACAGTGAGAATGACCCGCTTCCCTCTGTGCCCACAGAAAAGCATATGACTGGAGACTGATTTTTGGAGCAAGGGAACTTGAATACGGCAGCAGCGAGCCCGTGAAGCCACCTCTCCAGGAGAGGTTTGTGGAGAAGATCATCCTCCACGAGAGATACTCCCCCATCTCAGAAGCCAACGACATTGCTCTCCTGAAGGTCACCCCTCCTGTTGTCTGTGGGCGCCTCATTGGACCTGGCTGCCTGCCCCAGTTCAAAGCAGGCCCACCCCGAGTAGCCCAGACCTGCTGGGTGGCTGGCTGGGGGTTCCTAAAGGAGACCGGTGAGTACCGGACGGCTGCGGGGGGCCACTGCGCGTCATTCGCTTGGTGCACTTTGGAAGAGGAATGTGTGGGTGCCCCGCCGAGCGACTCTGCTCCTCACGGGCCCTTTGCAGCTGGAGGAGCACAGTGCCCCGTCCGAGGCCACAGGTGGTGCGGCCCACGGCAGGCCCCAGGGCAACCTGCCTTCCCAGAGCGTGGTCAAGGCTGTGGTCCTTGGGGTCCGGAGCCCAGGCGCTGCGTTCTGGAAATGGGGACAAGCTCCAGGTGGGGTTTCGTGGCTGCAGGCGTCTTCGCTCGGCCTGTTTCCCCGCCTGTGCACGGAAGGGCCAGAGCCCAGCCCGTCCACCCCCACATCCACCCTTGGCAGTCAACAGCCACATCCACCCTGCCCGTGGCCGTTGCTGCGGTTTCTGTGCGGACGGACGGGAGGCAGCCAGGCGCTGTGGTTTCCGGGGTCTCAGTGGCGCAAGGTTTGACCAGCAGGGCAAGGCCGAGTCTGACCGGTGCGGGCTGCCCTCTGGCTTTGCACAGGAGGCGCGGGAACTGCTGCCCAGTCTCAGGGGTGCGAGGCGATGAACTTAGCGCTTGGGCTCTTCTGTTACTTGATATCGGAAATTGAGGCTCTGATCCAAGGCAGCCCAGCCTTGCGAGGTTTACAACGGTCATTCCGGGCTCTGCCCTGACTCTTCCGCTCTCTGAAACTTGCGGCAGTTTCCGACAGGGTGGCCCTCTGTTCTCCCAGGAAGGGTGTCTCTGTCTCCCACAGGTGCCCTTTGCTGACCCTCGACCTCCCTCCCTGGCCCGCCCTCCATGTCCACCCACCCAACCACACCCAGCTTCTGGGGCTCTTGTCCCCGGAGGCTGGCGGCAGGTTCCCAGCTGGACGGTCCCCCGGGCCTGACTCTGGCCATCGTGTGGCTCAGGAGCACAGGTCCCAGCGACACCGGGACACCATGCAGCACCTCCTTTGTCCTGGATGCCTCACCCTAACGGGGTTCTGTCATTTCTGGTACACGCGTTCCCTGCCTACCCGAAGGCCGTCTGAAGGACGGGCCCTCCTCCCTGCTCGGGGCCACCCTCTCCTTGCCGCTGAAGCTGAGCTTTTCGCATTTGTCACTTAAAACGGGGTGTTGGGGTTGAGAACACCCTCCTCTGTCGGAGGACACCTGGCTCTTAACGATGAGGCCCCTGGCTTTCTAGACCGCGGCTCTGCTGTAGACAGAACCGGGCACCTTGATGGCTGAGGAGCGGGCTGTGGTCCTTACCTCAGCGTCACCCTGCCCCCAGGTCAGTGCCTGCCAGATGGTCTCTGCTGCCTGGGGGGCAGGGAAGGTGGGGCCGAAGGCGTTGGGAACCAACAGAGCCGCCTGGCCCCACCCTCGTGCTCTGTGGGGTCCTGTCTTCCCATGTGGCCCACACAGCATGTTCCAGATCCACCTCTCCACCAGGCCCGACCTGCCCAGGCCCCGCCGCACTGCAGACGGTGTTCAAACCCGCCCAGCAGGCTGTGGGGCCAGCGCAGTGGCAGCTGCAGGACCCCTTGTCTGTGGGACCCCCTGACCAAGAGGAGGCAGCCACTGGGGTACGGACGAGCCAGGCCCTTCTCCCCCTGGAGACCCGAGCATCAGGCTGTAAAGGGAGGCTCAGCTGGTCCGACAGCAGTGCCTGTGTGGAGGCCACAGCTCTTCGCGCCCCATGACCTCCTTAGAACAGGGGGGCTCATAGGGAGGAATTCGCCAGCCCCACCTGGGGACCCTCTCCAAGGGGGTGGAGTCCTGACTGGAGCTCATAGGGTGACTTGAAGCCAGACCCTGGACTTGATTCCGGGGAGGAGAACCTGGTTCGGAATCCAGGCCACACCACAGCCCTGCTGCGACCTTGGGCAGGTGGCGCTCCGACCTCTGGGCCGCAGAGCAGGGAACCAGCGGCACTGAAGTCGTGAGGTTTCTGCGAGGACTAAATTTGAGGAGCTTGCGAGAGTCACAGGCTCACTCAGCACAGCTGGTCACAGCTGCCACGACGGCCAACCACCTGCACAGTCCACCAGCTGCCCCAGCACACACCCTGCAGCTGCACCTGTGCACCCCCATGTCCCCTCTGTAGTCACCGTGCATCCAGTGACACCCCCCTGCCCGTCTCTCGTCTGCGGTGTGAGGGGAGGCCGGGGCCTCTGACTGTCCTGGGTCTTGGTGTAAAGAGCACCCCAGGACGACGAGGGCTCGGCGGAGGGTGGCAGGGCTTTCCCAGGGCATGTCCCCCGTGGGCACTGACCACTGCTGCCTGGTTGCAGACCACAAGATGTCACCTGTGCTGCAGGAAGCCCCTGTGAGTATCCTTGACCTCAGCTTGTGTAACTCGACCCAGTGGTACAGAGGGCGCATTAGCTCCAGCAATGTGTGCGCGGGATATCCTGAAGGCAACATCGACACCTGCCAGGTACGGTCTGTGGGGCCCCCAGGCCCCTGTGCACACCTGAGCTCAGGTGTTTTGGATCCCTGCGCTCCACTCAGTAGTGACCCTTTTCCTGGTCCTGTATCTACAGCCACAATGAGCACGGGAGGTGACACCCACCCACTGCCCCCGCTGCCCCCGCAGAGAACCAGCCCCACATGGAGCGCTCTCTCACATTAGCACCGGGGTCACAGCACCCCAACACTGCCCTGGAGAGAACATTCACCTCTCCTCCCTCGACCACCAACCCTTCAGACCCACTCGCGCTCATGCATGGACACGCGGGGCCCCCATCTTCCCCCTCCCTGCAAGGAAACCCACAGCGTCCAACCCTTGCGGCTGCGGCCCCCTGGGTGGGACGGCTCAGCGGGGTGACTCCTGTGTCCTCTGGCAGGGGGACAGTGGCGGGCCGCTCATGTGCAGGAGCAGCCCAGAAGACCCCTATGTGGTCGTAGGACTGACGAGCTGGGGGGTAGGCTGTGCCCGAGCTAAGCGCCCCGGAATCTACACATCCACGTGGCCGTATCTGAGCTGGATTGCCGCCAACATTGGTTCCAAGGCCTTGCAGCTGGTTCAGTCAGTCTTCCCTGCCCCTCACAACACTGCCACAGCCTCCGACAAACCTGCCCCTGCTCGCCCCCCTGCTCGCCCCCCTGCTCGCCCCCCTGCTCGCCCCCCGACTCGCCCTCCTTGGTCTTTCCTACACCCGCAACTACCTCCCCTCCGACCCCCAGCCCCACCGTTCTTCCAAAGGCCAGCCTCACTCCCGCTCCGACCCCCGGCCCTGCCCCCACCCCCGGGCTCAAACCTGCTTCCTCCCCCGCGTCCATCTTCCACGAAACCTTCCGAAGCGTCTTCCTTTGCCAAACGACTGCAGCAGCTCATCGACATCCTCGGTGGGAATGCGATGAATTCCAGTGAAAGAACAGGCGATGACGAAACGGGGGCCACCGACATCCCAGAGGTGACCCAGATGTCAACGGCCACCGACATCCCAGAGGTGACCCAGATGAAAACCTCACTCCCTAGGGGCGGAGAGAAAGATGAATAAATCAATAAATCGATATTTCTATACGAAGAGACGTTTTCCGGACGTATTTGCCCTCCTCGACTTGACCCAAACCCACATCCACTCTACCTTCCCTCCACCTTCACCAGACAGGTCGTACATCATGTCAACTGTGATTTCTAATCTTGATTTAAAAAATATTTTTTCTTTATTGACTCTAGAGTGAGAGGAAGGGAGAGAGAAACACTGATGAGTGAGAACATCGAATGGCCGCCTCCTGCACGCCCCCAGCTGGGGATCAGGCCCACCGCCTGGGCACGTGCCCTGACCAGAATCCAACCGGGACCTCAGTCCATGGGATGATGCTCCACCCACTGAGCCACACTGGCCGGGCTAATCTTGATTTTTAAATGAACAAACTGACCTGGGCACATAGGCCAGGAACGGTCCCTGTTTCTCACTTGGCCCTCTGCCCAGGGAAGCAGAGCTGGGGAGCCCCGGAAACAGCTCCTGTCTGGGAGGAGGGGGTGGGGCGGCTGCAGTGGAAACACTGTCCTGATGGTTGAAGAGATGGGCCACCAGCGGACTGTGTGTGGAAGGCTGGGTTCCCCAGAACACATGGAATAAGGCGGCCGAGCAGCCAAGCAGTGAGTGTCCACCACAGACCCAGCTTGGCCTGTAGCTCTGGCCCAGACTGGACATCTGCTCGGGCTCGTTTCTGGCCTGTGGTTAAACCCTACCACTTCCTGGGTTCAAGCAAATTAGAGAAATTATGATTTGCCCAAGCTCCCTAGGAATGCGGCGGTGGGTCGCTTTTAGATGCCCACGAGTAGCTTTCAGTGGTTTCCTTACCATGTGTGAGGCCTTATTCTGAGATCTTCTGTTGCAAGAGACAGAGACTAGTGTAAGGTATTAGGTGAGGAGGGGACACTGTGCATGACGAGGGCACACAGGTGTCAGCAGAGCCAGTCGGAAGGGCCAGCAGCAGACACCAGGACGGTGGCAGCCTGGCCGGGAGCGGCTGGTCTGGAGTTTGCAGAGTGGCTGACCGCCTGGAGGCCACCCAACCAGAATCATGTGTCCATTTCCAACTCCTGGAAAGCACTCCCGAGGAGATCGGGCCAGCGGCCCCTGGCGTCAGAGCGGAAACCCAGCGTTCCTCTGTATGAACCCTCCCTGTGGGCTCAGGACCCTCCTGGATCTGGGCCAAGGAGCTGTGGCCGGTGGCATCCATGCTCCCAGGTCCAGGAAGCTGCGTGTCACGCGCAAGGTGGTCCCAGGAGGGCGGTGCCGGGGCAGGTGGAGGAGCCCCGGTGAGAAGGGGGGTCCAGTCCTTTTCCTGCTGCGGCCGGAAGCGGGCTGAGGAAGCAACCAGGAGCCTTTGTTCTCCAGCCTCCCCCATCTGCTATGTTCAAGCAGACCTCGTAGGCTGCGTGTTGGGAGGGTGGCCAGACAAGCCCTCAGAGCAGAGACACCTGGAAATGCTCACCAGTGAGGACCGGCGACGAGACGCAGCCGGGCAGCCCTATGCTTACCTGCGAGGGGCACTTGGGTGCCACCCTCTGTCCACCTATGACCCCTGAAATGCTTAGACCACACAGAAGGGCTTGTGTATTCATCTGAGGGGCCTGTAACTCTGTAGTGTAGTGACATTTGCTTAAACTAAAAAAAAAAAAAATTCCTATCCGCCGTGGCTAAGAGCTGGCATGATTTTTCATGTTGTCGGCTTTGGGCTGTCTCCTCTACAGCCTGCTTCTTAATCTCCCTATAGGGGTTACAATCTCCGTATCCTGGTGCCAGACACTGGTCACCCTCTAAACACTGAACAGAACCCAGTGTGTTGGTCACAGAGCAAGACGGAAGCCAAATCCTGAGCCACATGGTCCAAAGAGCAGAGACAGTGGTGGCAGGAGCCCGGCCCTCGTGGGGCATCCCTGCGCCAGAGCCCGAGCCCGTGGCAGTGCCCGGGCAGGCTCCGCCAGGGCACAGGCGTTGGCAGGCGCGGAGGAGTCGGGACAAGAGGTGGAGGAGCCCTGGGAGGAACAGTCCCCCTCACTCCTCGTCTGCAAAGCCTTCCGGCGTCCAGAATGGATTCTCTGGCATTTCCTGCACCTCCCGCGCTCGAACCCTTGTCCTTAGTTCGTCCTTTCTCCTCATGGACACAGTCGTGGTGACGGACACTTGGGCCTCCTTCCTGGAAGGTGAGTCTGAGAGGTTTTCTGGTGCCATCGGAACTTCCCACGACAGGAATACACACACACACGTGGTCTAATCCCCTCATCACGTGCCATTCTTCATACTACTGACTTTCTTTCTCATTTAGTGAATGTAGAGATGTTTTCACACCGGCACACATGCCCACCTCCTCCAGGCCATGTCCTCAGCACCACATCCCCTTCCTGGGAGGGAGCATCCAGGCTCCCGACGGAGTCCCCTCGCTGTGCCCATTTCCACACCTGCACAGCACTGGTTTCTGCCCAATTCGTCAGTCTTTGCAAATCCAATAGATGTTCTGATTTTCATTTTTTTAAAAATTTTATTTTTGTTACAGATGTTTCTCCTTTTTTACTCCAATGACACCTTCCTCCCCATCCCCCCCACCCCATCCCTGGCATTGTTGTCCATGTCCATCGGTTATGCGTACATGCATATAAGTTCTGTGGTTTATCTCTTCCCTCCCCCAACACCCCCTCTTCTGAGGGTTGTCAGTCTGTACCCTACTTCCACATCTCCGGGTCCACCCAATTCCTCCGATGGTTATGTTCATCATATTCTACAAATAAGTGAGATCATGTGGTATTTGCCTTTTTCTGCTTGGCTTGATACTTTCCAGCTCCCTCTATGTCGTCTAAAAGGATAAGAGATCTTTCTTCCTTACAGCTGCATAGTACTCCATTGTGTATATGTACCACTGCTTTTTTATCCATTCGTCTACTGATGGACACTTGGGCTGTTTCCAGATCTTACCTGTTGTAAATAGTGCTGCTACAAACATGGGGGTACATATATTCTTTCTGATTGGAGTTTCAGGCTTCTTAGGGTATATTCCTAGAAGTGGGATCACTGGGTTAAATGGAAGTCCAATTTTTAATTTTTTGAGGTAACACCATATTGTTTTCCATAGGGCTGCACCAGTCTGCATTCCCACCAGCAGTGCACTAGAGTCCCCTTTTCTCCACACCCTCGCCAACACTTGTTTCATGATTTGTTGATGGCGGCCATTCTGACAGGTGTGAGGTGATACCTCATTGTTGTTTTAATTTGTATCTCTCTGATGATGAGTGATGTTGAGCATTTCTTCGTATGTCTCTTGGTCATTTGTATGTCCTGTTTGGAGAGGTGTCTATTCAGCTCCTCTGCCCATTTTTCAGTTGGGTTCTTTGTCTTCCTTTTGTTGAGTTGTATGAACACTCTATATATTCTGGAAATTAACCCCTTATCTGATGTATCATTGGCAATAATGTTCTCCCATATAGTGGGTTTCCTTTCCATTTTGATGGTTGTTTCTTTGCTGTGCAGAAGCTTTTGAGTTTGATGTAGTCCCATGTGTTCATTTTTTCCTTTGTTTTTGTTGCCTTCGGTTATGTATCAGTGAAAATTCTGCTGTGTATGATGTCCGAAATTTTGTTGCCTACATTTCTTCTAGGATTTTTATGGATTCATGGGTCACATTAAAGTCTTTTTTCCATTGTGAGTTTATTTTTGTGTATGGTGTAAATTGATGGTCTAGTTTCATTTTTTTTGCATGTAGCTGTCCAATTTTCTCTTCATGGACACAGCCTCTTATTAAAGAGGCTGTATTTACTCCACTGTATGCTCTTGCCTCCTTTGTCAAATATTAATTGAGCATAGTGTCTTGGGTCCATTTCTGGGTTCTCTATTTTGTTCCACTGGTCTATATGCCTGTTCTTGTGCCAGTACCAGGCTGTTTTGATTACAGTCACTTTGTAGTATAACCTGATATCTGGTATTGTGATCCCACCTACTTTGTCCTTCTTTTTCAAGATTGCTGTGGCTATTCGGCATCTTTTTTGGTTCCATGTGAACTTTTGAAGTATTTGTTGTAGTTCTGTGAAATACTTCGTTGGTATTTTGATGGGGATTGCATTGAATCTATAGATTGCTTTGGATAATATGGACATTTTAATGATGTTAATTCTTCCAATCCATGAACAGGGTATGTGCTTCCACTTTTTTATTGGACATTTTAATGATGTTAATTCTTCCAATCCATGAACAGGGTATGTGCTTCCACTTTTTTATATCTTCCTCTATTTCTTTCTTCAATGTTCTGTAGTTTTCTGCAAATAGGTCCTTTACTTCTTTGGTTAAGTTTATTCCTAGGTATCTTAATTTTTTTGCTGCGATGGTAAATGGGATTGCTTTTTCAGTTTCTCTTTCTGTGAGTTCATCATTGGTGTATAAGAATGCCGTCAATTTCTTGACGTTAATTTTGTATCCTCCTACTTTGCCAAATTCATTTATTAAGCCCAGTAGATTTTTGATGGAGTCTTTAGGGTTTTCTATGTATAATATCATGTCATCTGCAAATAATGACAGTTTTACTTCCTCCTTTCCAATTTGGATCCTTTTTATTTTTTCCTTCCTGTCTGATTGCTGTGGCTAAGACTTCCAGTACTATGTTCAATAAGAGTGGTGAAAATGGGCATCCCTGTCTTGTTCCTGTTCTTAAGGGAAATGCTTTTAGTTTCTGCCCATTGAGTATGATTTTGGCTGTAGATCTTTCATATATGGCCTTTATTATGTGGAGATATGATCCCTCTATTCCCACATTTTTTAGTGTTTTTATCAGAAATGGATGCTGGATTTTGTCGAATGCTTTTTCAGCATCTATTAATATGATCATGTGGTTTTAATTCTTCATTTTGTTTATGTGGTATATCATGTTTATTGATTTGCGAATATTGTACCAGCCTTGCATCCCTGGGATGAATCCCACTTGATCATGGTGAATAATTTTTTTGATGTATTGCTGGATCCAATTTGCTAGTATTTTGTTCAGGATTTTGGTGTCTATGTTC